TCCAACCCCATCTCTCTGTCCCCAGTGGGGGCGCCCATCCCGGTGCCCCGGACTCCCTGCCCATCCCGCCAGGACATCGACCAGCTCCATGCCACCTACCTGGAGCGGCTCATTGCGCTCTTCGAGGAGAACAAGACCAAGTATGGGCTGCCCCCAGAGAAGCACCTGAACCTCATCTAGGGGCGCTGCCCCCATGCCTGCTGCAGCACGCAGGGACTCGGATATGGGGGCAGCTCTCACTGGGGCCTGGCTTTGGTTCCCACTCAGATGGGTAGGGGATCCTCCCCTCCCTGGACCAGGCTCTATTTCTCCAGCCCCCCTGCTTCTTGCTGCCCCATCTCAGGGTGTGGGTTGGGTGGGAAGGGTGCTTCGAGGCAGCCTTGAAGGCAGTGAGGCCTTTCCCCCACAGATCCCTGCCCTGCCTTGCTGCAATAGGTGGTGTTGTGAAACTACAGCAGTGGGTCCCAGAGTGGTTACTGTTTGCTGTGGGCCAGGCTGTAACTCCAGCCCCCTGGGGCGTGCAATAAACAAGCTTCCTTTGCAATCATGTCCTGTGCCTATGTGGGGGGAAGGGGTGGTGCTCGGGAGGTTCACCAGGGCAATGGGGTTTGGGGGGGGGGCAGTGCCCTGACCTGTGTCCTTGCACAGTAGCTTGGGGCCAGAGCAAACCCAGGAGTCCTGGCTCCCAGCCCCCTGCTCCCCTCCCAGAGCTGGGGAGAGAACACAGGAGTGCTGCTGAAGAGCCTCAGGCACTCAAAGGCAGCATGGGCCCAGGGCAAGAGCTGGTTAAACATTGATCCTTCTGCAAACTCAGCCCAGGGCTGGGCAAAGGGCAGCAGCAGACAGGCTGGGCATTGAGAAACTGAGGCAGGATGGCATGGGAGGGGCTGGGAACCAGAATTGCTGGGTTCCCTCCCTGGCTTTTGGCAGGGGTGTGGGGGCTAGTGGCTAAAACAGCGGGCTGGAGGCCAGAACTCCTGGGTTCTTTTTCTATGTCCCCCTTCCACGGTTGTGACTGCACTTCCCATTATTCCCTTCTCCCACCCTCTCCTTCCAAACAGCAGAGCTGCTGCCTGCCGCCAGCCCATGGCCTGCCCTGCCTGGGCATTTGCCTGCTGGTGTGGCAGGTCCCGGGGAATGTAGAGACCTGGCCCTGCCCACTCAGTGCTGTGGGGACAGGGGCTGCCCTGCCCATCTTAGCCAACAGCCCCTGAGGCACCTTCTCCTCTGGATATGTGGCCTTGACCCCACACCCTGGCCGAGCATCCCACAGATGAGTCAGCGCTAGTGTTTCCCCCAGCTCGAGTGCCAGAGACAGAGGGAAATGGCGCTTGTCTCTACTGTGGGCTGGGCTTTACAGACCTGTCCCCTCTCTCACCAGCCGAGCTTGTCTGGTCTCTCCCTGGATGCCAGCCATTGCCTGTCTGACCCTTTCCCTCTCCTGCTTGGGCCTGCCAAAGAGGAGGCACCGGGTCACAGGCTGCTGTAGCCAAGGTACTTGTGTTTATGCCAATGATTTCTGTGGCGCAAGGCCCATCTACCCTGGCATCCTGGCTAGCTCAAAGGGGGAAGTGTGCCTCCTAGTGGCCTCCTCCTGAAACATCAGCTGCTAGGCAGAATATGCCTGCTCTCTGGAGACTGGTAAAGCCCTAAGCCTCTCAGGGGGACTGTCTTCACTGCTGGGTTTTTCCTCTCTCCTCTTCCCCCCCCCCCTCCCCAGCAGAAGATATGCAAATCATGCTCTCATTTGCATATCTTCTGCTGATCCTTTTTGTGGAAGAGGTTTTGCTGCTAAAACCCCCCGTATAGACGGGGCCATTTGTTGGAAATACCCCGTTTTGTGGAAGATCCTGTAAACCTCATTTTTTGAGGAATAAGGGGTCTTGCGCGAAAGGGTTTTTTTTCTGACAAATGGCCCTACACGGCTTTTTAGTGGCAAAACCTCTTCCACAGAAAGGATTGGCAGAAGATATGCAAATGAGAGCACAATTTGCATATCTTCTGTAGGGAGGGGTCTGGAGGAGAACCAACAGTGCAGATGTAGCCTCAGCTTCCTAACTCTGCTGGCTCCCAACATTCTTGCTCTGCCCCACCAACATCCCCTGCTCTGCCAGAGCTGGGGGGAGAGCCCAGGAGGTGTGGTTCTCAGCCCTGTCTGCCCCCATTCCTCTCCCGCAGCCAGGGAGAGAACCCAGGCCTCTGGTGTGTGCTAGAGCCTGGCTGTGAGTCTGCCCCTGCCTCCGCTTATCTCTGGCCTGGCCCTGCCCCAGTCCCACGTTGCTCCTGAGGCCAAAGTGCAGTGTGGAGAGTGGGACGTGGATCTGGAGCAGTCCCCAGGGGTGTGGAGCTGGTGGTGAGAGGTCCCTGCAGCTGGGGGGGCAGGGGCTGGTTTGGGGAGGGCCTGGGCTAATCGGGGTGGGGGTTAGTTCTCTTCCTTCTCCCCCTGCTGCCTGGCTGGGTCTTTTGGGAGCCAAAACTCCTGGCTTCTGCCCATCCATCCCAAGGCTCCGCAATCTCCTTTGCTTGCTCAGCTGTCCCTCCCATCTATCCTCCGGCTCTCCCCATGTGTCTGACCCTTTGACCCCCTTGCTGTGGAGCACCCGTGTCCTCACTTTTCTGGTGGGGGGGAGGAGTGGTAGGGTAAACTGCAACAGTGTCCCATCTCAGGGTCGGGACCATAACCAGCCTCTGTGCCCTGCCCCAGAGGTGGCTGCATCTCAGCACTGTGTGCATGATCCCTGTATAACCAGCTCCCCTGCCCTGCAGGTAGCTGTGTTCCAGGGCTGGGAAAGGGGTCACTGGATGAGGAAGTGGCCAGCCAGACCTGGGCTCTAGTCCCAGCCTGGGATCTGTGGAGTCAGGTTCCCCCAGCAGGATGGCGAGTGCACTGAAGAAGCACCTTGAATTGCTGAGCGTGGTTCAATGGGTTCTGACCTTCCTCTTCTTCGGTAGGTGGGGCAGAGGGGGCCTGGGGCACTGCAGGGAGTTGGGGGGGTTCAGTGGAGGGTGTGTGACAAATGCATGTGCAATGAATGCAGACCTAGGAACTGCTGCAACCACCAGCCCAGTGCCCTGTTTCTAACTGGGGCCAGTCCCAGAGCACCAGGCCTCTTCCAGAGAGATCTGCCCCCAGCTTGAAGCACTTAGAGATTTAATATTGCCTTGAGCATGGGGCTGTGCCCTGAACCATCTTGTCTCCTCACCTTGGATGGACCTAGCCTCTGTGAGCTTCCATGGTTCTGTTTTGACTCCAGTTAGACTCTTGGCTGCCACACTGTCTCCTGGCAAGGAGTTCTGTAGGTTAACAAAGCACAGCCTCTCATTTGAATGAAACCGGCTGCCTGTTAATTTCATCAGGAGACCACTTTTTTTTTGTAGTGGCAAAGGGTAAATAGACCTTCCCTCTTTGATTTCCCCAGTCCCGGTTCTATAGTGCGTGATCCTATCCCTCCTTAGTTGTCTCTTTTCCATGCTGACCAGTTCCCCTCTTTTTAGTCTTGCCTTGTATGGGAGCTGCTCTGAACCTTTGATCATCTAAGCTGCCTGCTCCTGATCCATTGCTACCCGCACTTTGTCCTTTGGGAGCTGGGGTGACCACATCTGCAGGCAGGATTTGAAACGTGGCCATCCCATGTTTCTACAGAGGCAATATGATATTTTCTGTCTCTTTCCTAACCATGCCCAAAAGCCTGTTCACTTTTTTGGCTGCCATTGCACATAAAGCGGATGTTTGCAGATAGCATTGCTCCTTGTGCCCGAGCCAAAGATCCCCAGCAGGGCCTTTAGATCTGTGGGGTTTGCTCATTATGTGGGTGACTAGCAGAATGGTTGTGAAAAAAACAACAAATGGTCTGGTAGCACTTTATAGACTAACAAAACATGAAGTTGGTATCATGAGCTTTTGTGGGCACAGCCCACTTCTTCAGATGACCAGAGTTATGACTAGGGGATATGAAAACTCGGAATAAATAGGAGAGGGGGAGGAGAGGGGGGAGGGAAAGAAAAATGCAGGGGGGTGGGAGACAGAGCATCATTAAGTATCTAGAGCATGAGTACTTAAACCTAAGCAGATAAAAGTTAAAGTCAGTAGATAGATTCCTAAAACAGGAAGGATACCACTCAGGAAGCTGTTAGCATCTTCAGTGGTTATTAAGTAGGTAGAGTCCCCCCAGCCCATATCACGACTGAGACAGTTTATAGTGCTGTTTAACCAGCCCAGTGAGTCCAAGGGTGTGTAAGGGGTTAGAGCTGATTCACCCTCCTCTCAGACATGCTGTGTGTGCATGGGTAGCCAGTGAACGCCCAGCTGGGGAAAACAAGTCTTAGCCCCGCCCCTTAGGCCTGAGGCTCCACCCTTGGAGCCCCAGTCAGATCCTTCATGGCCACCTGAAGGGCTCCTCCTGGTAGCTGCAGAGCTGGGTGGCCATGGCCCCAGCTTCCAAGCAGCTGGGTGTGTAGGCAGTTTTAGGAAGGCAATGTCTTCCCTTGCTTACACTACTGTGTGTGCGTGTGCCTGAGAGGAACCCAGCCCTGGGGAACCTAGCCCCTGCAGGGCAGTGCCAGTGGGAGGGAACTGGCGGAATGGAGAAGTACACACCATAGGAAAACACAAGCAGCACCCGGATAGAACGAGCAACACCCCAAAATGTATCAACCCCCACAAAAAAACCCTAATAAATGAGCACATCTCAAAGTAACAGGCAAACGTGGTAACACGGCTCTGTCGCTGTCCAGTTCATAGAATCATAGGCTGGAAAAGACCTCAGGAGTCTTCGAGTCCAGCCCCCTACCCAAGGCAGGACCAATCCCAACTAAGTCAACCCGGGCAGGGCTTTGTCAAGGAGACTTAAACACCTCTAGGGATGGAGACTCCACTACTACCCTAGGTAACCCCTTCCAATGCTTCACCACTTTCCTAGGGAAATAGTTTTTCCTAATATCCAACCTGGACTTCTCCCACTGCAACTTGAGACCATCGCTCCTTGTTCTGCCATCTGCCACCACTGAGAACAGCCTCTCTCCATCCTCTTTGGAAGCTCCCATCAGGAAGTTGAAGGCTGCTCTCAAATCCCCCCTCACGCTTCGCTTCTGCAGACTAAACAGACCCAACTCCCTCAGCCTCTCCTCATAAGTCATATGCTCCAGCCCCCTAATCATTTTTGTTGTCCTCTGCTGGACCCTCTCCAATGCGTCCACATCCTTTTTGTAGTGGGGGGCCCAGAACTGGACACAATACTCCAGATGTGGCCTCACCAGAGTTGAATAAAGGGGAATAATGACATCTCTGGATCTGCTGGCAATGCTCCTCTTAATGCAACCTAATATACCATTAGCCTTCTTGGCTACAAGGGCACACTGTTGACTCATATCCAGCTTCTCATCCACTGTAACCCCCAG